TCCTTCCTTCCTTCCTTCCTTCCTTCCTTCCTTCCTTCCTTCCTTCCTTCCTTCCTTCCTTCCTTCCTTCCTTCCATTTGTTTGAGATAGGGTCTCACTATGTAGCCTTGGCTGGTCTAGTAGACCAGCTGGCCTTGAGCTCACAGACACCCACGTGCCTCTGCCTGTATGGCACTAGGATTAAAGGTGTGTGGACCCCCCCCCCCCGATTTCCATTTAAAGAACTTTAAACCTTTGTGTGCGGCTTTGATGCAGGTTCACCACCTATGACTCTACTTGTCAAATTGCCCAAGAAATTGCTGAGAAAATTCAACAACGAAATCAATGTGAAAGAAGAGGTGAAAAGACACCTAAGGTAAAACCATGGAGGAACCAATGTGCTGAGCTGTGAAGTCTGAATACAGTTTTAGACCTGGGCATGCTGTATGTGGTCACGGTGGTGTATGCTTGAGCGTGTTGCGGGCATGTGTGTGTGAAATCTTTGGAATGTGTTTGCTATGTTATATCTAATTTTATTTTTTTCCAGTTGGTAAATTATGGCCACTCCCCCAAGACACAGTTTATATTTCATTCACTGACTTTTTATACAACTGCAGTGTTCATACTGCTGACAACCGCCAGCGGCACACCCCACAGTGTTCGCACTGTGGGCAGATGCAGGCATTACGTTCTTGGGTTTGTGTGTGTGTACATGTGTGTTCATGGGTGTTTGTGTGCGTGAGAAGGCCAGGGGTTGACACTGGTGGTTTTCCTTTGTCTCTTTCCATCTTGTCTTCTTGAGGCTGGATCTGCCGTTGAATCTGGAGCTCCCCAACTTGGCAGGATTGGCCAGTTAGCTTCAGGGATCTTCGGTGTCCCCCACGCCCTCTCCCATGCCCAGGTTACACACATGTGCTGCTGTGCCTGACTTCTAGGCTTCTCATGGCGGCTGGGCGTCAAACACAAAGCCTCATGCTTGTTCAGCGATTCCCATAGCAAGCCATCTCCCGGCCCCTTGTATCTTGTTTATAATAACTCCTTATCCAGTTGTTTTGGCTACACAGGGAGATCTTATCTCAACAACAAACAGATTAAACAACAAACCAAAGAAATGAATTCGAATGCTTTAGTCTGTGTACAGTGTGACACGAAGTCTCTTTTATTTTGCACAGGTATCATTTGTCTTACTTTTATTCTCATTTGTCCTTTCCGGGCAATTTTATTTATTTGTTTGTGTGTTTGTTTAGTTTCTTTCTGAGTCAGGATCTTGCTCTGTAGCCCAGACTGGCCTGGAACTTGCTGTGTAGTCCAGGCTGGTCTTAAACCCTGATTCATGCTGCTGTCCTGTCTCCCGAGCTCTAGGATGATAGATGTTTGGCATTATATGTGCATATGTGCTTGTTTATGTGCGTGCACAGGTATGTGGCTCCACGTGGAGGCCAGAGGTTAACGCTGGCTGTCTTTTGAGATTGCTGGCTTTTTGTTTGTTTGTTTGTTTTTAACATGATTTTTCATTGATTCACTGCCAGGAGTCATTGGTGTGGTTCAAGGCCTCTGGCTTCTGCTGCATTGTCTGTACTGTACCCTCACTGGACTCCTCTCAGTTTTCCTGCTGTTGTCCAGAGTCATGGAGGTCCTGTGGCTGTGGCTCAGCAGGATCGGCCCCTTCACGGTCTCCAGCAGCTCAGGGATGAGGGCAGCTCATAGATAGGGTAAATGTTGGGGTGGGCCAACTCAAGACCCTGGATCTGGGCCTGGGTCGTAACTGATTTGGTCTCTCATTGGTAAACCAGGAGTTTACCAATTTGCATAGACTAGATGGCTAGCAAGCCTGGCTCCTGGGGTTCGAGGTCAGGTCCTCATGCTTGCATGGCCCGCACTCTACTGAGCCTTCTCCCCAGCCCAAAGCTGATTCTGTTTAATTTTCCCAAGTAGATTATTCTCCATCTGTAAGTAATCCTTTACTCTCCCTTGAGCCCTCCCATACTTCATTAGTCTCATTCCTTTAGTAAGAACTGGATCCTGGTTAAATGATACCATGCAGACAGTAGTGTCTATTCTTAGGTTTTCTGTCTGTTTTATTTTTAATTTCTCCACACTGTGTTAATCAGATGTTTATTCTATTTTTAACCATTAACACCATGAGCTTTTTTTTTTTTTTTAGATTTTCTACATTCTTAATTTACAGGAATGAATTCTACTTGGTGGTAGCATCTTGTCCTTTTTAATGTAATCATGAGTTTGCAAATGTTTGAATAGAGTTTTTGTCATCCTTGAGTGGGCTTGGTGTACAGGGTTTCTGTTTGTTTTTTTCAGTTATAGTCAGTGTTTATGTCTGCGGTTGTGTTAGCTAAAGTATGAATTGGGTTTTGTATCTTTTTCTGTGTTCTAGAAGTTTCTGTTTAACTATAACAAAGGAATTTTTCTCTTGATTATCAAAGGTTATTTTCTTACAAATTTTAAGAAATCTTACTGCTAAGAAATGATCACTTTGGCATTATGGTACAGTTACTTCCTGGACTCTTCTCTTTTTGGGTGACATTTTATTTTATGACTTGATTTAAAATTTGTAAAATTAACTGCAGGTGTGCACGTGTGTCGTGTGTGTGTGTGTGTGTGTGTGTGTGTGTGTGTGTGTAAGACAGAGTTTGGGTGTGTCTTCCTTGTTGCCTAGGCTGGCCCTAAGTGCCTAGATTCAAGTGCCCCTCTTGCCTCATAAGTAGGGCACAGGTGTGGACTGTGCCACCCAGCTGGTTTTGCTTTTTCTATTTGTTACTCTCTGAATACATGGAGCACGGCTTCCCCTCTCTTCTCCCTGTTGGCGCGATGGGCGGCTCCTTTGGTTTCCAGGGTTGTTAGAACAAGGCTGGAGTGTTCCTGGCTGCTGACATCTTGGACAGTTGCTTGACATGCTGACGGTGCTCATCAAAGGTGTGTGTGTTGTTGTTTTGTTGAGACAGGGTCTCACTGTGTGGACCATGCTGACCTGGAACTCCTAGCGATCCTCCTGCCTCCCAGTGCTGGGATTACAGGTGTACCCCTCCATGCCCAGCGCTACTGCCACTTTCAGCAAGGGGCAGTGAAAACAGTGGCGCTCTGCCTTTTTAACAGTCCTCTGCCTTCATCAGTGGTCAAATGTTTTCATTTAAACGGGTACTTTTGTTCTTCACATTTCCATATGTCAGGGAGGGGCTCTCCTGCCCCATCTTCATCTTTAGAGTCACAAACACATTTTCTCTGGGTTTTTAGGATGGTTGGAGAGAATTCATACAGCAGGCGAGTCACGCATGGTGAACATTCCTTTCGTGGAAAAAGCCCGAGTCTCTCCAGTGGCCACATATACTGTAACTCCACGAGCGTGGTCGGAGACTGGTCAGGGCACCTTGTCACGTGAGGCAAGGTTGAAGGGACTGCAGGGCTTTGCTGTTGAGCTAGGACTGAGGGAACACAGTTTTCTGCGTGGCTCCAGGGTGCATGGAACAGTGTGTAGAAGCTCCGGGGCTGGATTCCAGCTGAGTCCGAATGCAAACTGACAGTGTCCGCTGTGTCCGTGTTCCCTCATGGACCAGGTTGCCAGAGGCAGGGCACTATGGATACAAGCTCTGGGTGAGTGGCTAGCCCCGGACACCACTGACAAGTTTACATCCCTGAGTGTGCCCTCGGGAGGGTGAGCCTCTCTCCGGGGCTGTTTACCTCAGCTCAGCTCTGGAGCAGCGGACTCAAGCCACATCCTTCTCTTTGCAGCTCACCTTGACAATCAGAACGCTGCTGAAGAACCTGAAGGCAAAGATCGACATTTTGAAGGACTTGCTGCTGAGAGCCGTCTCCACACGTCAGATGTATCCATGTAAACGTTTCCACCTTTTCTGGAGTGGGAGGAAAAGCAGTCTTAATTAGAGAGGAAGGAGTCTGGGCCTCCCAGATTTTCCACAGCTCAAGGAGAACTTGCTCTCCACATCCGTGCTTTAACCTTGTGTTCTGTCTTAAGTGTCTGCTCACTGTTTTACAGTGACTGCTGGTGAGGGGAGACCTGCCTAAGGGATGGGTTTGTCCGGGGTAACCTTGGCAGGCAGGAAGCGAAAGCTTTTGGTGCTCTGTCTGTAGAGCAGCACGCTGCTGTCTCGCCTTGAGGATGGCTAGCTGCTCCAACCACAGGACTTCCAGGATAATCCTGATTCCCTGTTGGACTTGGCAGAACACTTTTTTTTCTTCTTTCTTGAGACAGGGTCTCAGACTGGCTGTGTAGCCAAGGCCGGCATGAACTAAAGGTGTGGTCCAGCATGCCCAGTCTCCTCCTGTGGTGCTGGGAAGGGGCTCAGGGCCTTGTGCAGCACAGCCAAACGCTGCCCCAACTGAGCGACGGCTAACCCTCAGAATGCCTGGTTACCTTCCTGGCCAACAGCGTCCTTTTTTGCTTTGTAAAAGTTCAGCCGTAGATATGAGATATGTACGGCTTGCCTGCTTGTTCTCTCAGGGACACAGATAAATGCTTGTTGGGAGCTTTAGGGATGAAGAGCATGTTGGTCGAACTTGGTTAAGGCAAGACAGTCATCTTGTGAGCTGCCAAACACTCAAGCTCTCTCTCTCTTTTTAAGCTGTGTGTGGCTGTTCACATCAGTAATCCCGAAACTGAAGACTGAGGCAAGATAGAACGTTAAAGGCCAGCCTGGGCTACATAGTGAGTTTAAGGGTACCCTGAGCTATATAAGGAGGGACCCTACCCCACTCCATCCCTGTCTCAAAACAAACGTTCAGAAAAGAAATTTGAAAGGTGACCTGGTACCTAAACTAACTCTTCAAACTAGTTTTAGTGAATGGAAAGCTGACCCTACAGTTATATGTCTTTAAATTGTCTACAATTCAGGCCAGAGGTCTGACTTTCAGTATCAGGAAACCGTGTGTCCCGGCTTGAGATGTGGGAAGTGTAGGAACACAGCTCTTTTGACAAAACAATAGAAGGTGTTTCAGAACTTCGTTTTCTTCTGAACGAACCCTTTTCTGTTGGCAGGAAGGTTGGCATGACTTAGTTGCATGGTTTTCCAAATGTTCACTTATTAACCTGCTGAGGCTTCGAATAAAAGTCTAATTTTAGTAAACAATGGGGCCTTCTTTCAAGCACAGTTGGAATACTCTGGTTTGTAATTTCACCCTCCACCTGGTGTCATTTGTTTCTGCCCTGGCCTGTTACATAAAGAGCTTCTGTTTTTACCCCAATCAACAGGTCTTAATCCATAGGCCTCAGTCGGTTTCCAGTGGGCGGGGCTGGGTCCTCTTCTCTCAGAGGGCAGCGCTGGGAGGTTTGCACACGTGCTTAAGGCACAGGACTCATTTCAGTGCAGCCAGCAGCACATGCATCAGAAGGGTGGCCAGACACTGTCCATGGCTGCTAGTTCCTGTTTGCTGACTAATACTAAGATAGTCACTTAAGCTGGACACCGTGGCCTGTGCTTATAATTCCAGCACTCTGGGAGGCAGAGGCAGGCCGATCTCTGAATTTGAGGGCAGCCTGGTGTACACAGTGAGTCCAAGAACAGCCAAAGTTACACAGAGAAACCCTGTCTTGAAAAACCAAAAAAAAAAAGATAATTATATATACATATAATTATATATATAAAGAAAATTATAATGCACTTTTATTTATATATGCTAAGCCTGTAGAACAAGAGACGTATAACTCAAGACCTCTACTTCCTATTAACAGCCCCCGCTAGGCCGTTGAGAGAAAATCCTACGTGTACAATAATTAGTTTCAGGTGTCCACACACTTTCATTCTGACCTGCTGTTCTAATGGTCTTTTTTTTTTCTTCTTCTTCTTTTATTTTTTTATTAATTACACTTTATTCATTTTGTATCCCCCCCCATAAGCCCCTCCCTCCTCCCCTCCCGGTCCCACCCTCCCCCCCTTTCTGCATGCATGCCCCTCCCCAAGTCCACTGATAGGGGAGGTCCTCCTCTCCTTCTTTCTGATCTTAGTCTATCAGTTCTCATCAGAAGTGGCTGCATTGTCAGGGTTCTAGGTTATCTCCATGAATAGTCCTTGGTTGGAGTATGAGTCTCTGGGAAGTTCCCTGTGTTCAAATTATCTTGTTCTGTTGCTCTCCTTGTGGAGTTCCCGTCCCCTCCAGCTCTTAATATTTCCCACTTCTTACATAAAATTCCATTCACTCTGCCCATCGGTTGGCCATCAGGCTCAGCATCTGCTTTGACAGTCTGCACTGCAGAGGCTTTCAGAGGCCCTCTGTAGCAGGTTCCTAGGTTGTTTCCTGTTTTCTTTTTCTTCTGATGTCCATCCTCTTTGCCTTTCAGGATGGGGATTGAACATTTTAGTTAGGGTCCTCTCTTTTGCTTAGTTTGTTTAGATATACAGATTTTAGTGGGTTTATTCTATGTTGTATGTTTCTATGAGTGAGTATATACCGTGTGTGTCTTTTTGCTTCTGGGACAACTCACTCAGGATGATCCTTTCCAGGTCCCACCATTTACCTGCAAATTTCATGATTTCCTTATTTTTCATTGCTGAGTAATACTCCATTGTATAAATGTGCCACAGTTTCTGCATCCATTCTTCAGTTGAGGGGCATCTGGGCTGGTTCCAGCTTCTGGCTATAACAAATAAAGCTGCTACAAACATGGTTGAGCAAATGTCCTTTTTGTGTACTTGAGCCTCTTTTGGGTATATGCCTAGGAGTGGTATGGCTGGATCTTGAGGAAGCGCTATTCCTAGTTGTGTGAGAAAGCGCCAGATTGATTTCCAGAGTGGTTGTACAAGTTTACATTCCCACCAGCAGTGGAGAAGGGTTCCCCTTTCTCCACAACCTCTCCAGCATGTGTTGTCACATGAGTTTTTTATCTTGCCATTCTGATGGGTGTAAGATGAAATCTCAGGGTTGTTTTGATTTGCATTTCCTTAATGGCTAATGAGGTTGAGCATTTCTTTAAGTGCTTCTCTGCCATTCGATATTCCTCTACAGAGAATTCTCTCTTTAGCTCTGTTCCTCATTTTTTAATTGGATTGCATTTCAGCTTCTTTAGTTCTTTATATATATTGGATATGAGTCCTCTGTCTGATAGAGGGTTGGTGAAGATTCTTTCCCAATCTGTAGGCAGTCGCTTTGTTTTGATGACGGTGTCCTTTGCTTTACAGAAGCTTTTCAGTTTCATGAGGTCCCATTTGTTGATTGTTGCTCTTAGAGCCTGTGCTGTTGGTGTTCTGTTCAGGAAGTTTTCTCCTGTACCAATGAGTTCTAGGGTATTCCCCACTTTTTTTTTCTAGCCGATTTAATGTGTCTGGTTTTATGTTGAGGTCTAGTGGTCTTTATCTACATGTCAGGTATTCACCTTATGATTAGTAACAGCAGCAGTATTACAGTCATGAAGTAACAACAAAGTAATTTTATTGGCTGGGCGGTGGTGGCACACCCCTTTAATCACACCACTTGGGAGGTAGAGCAGGCGGATCTCTTCGAGTTCAAGACCAGCCTGCTCTACAGTGGGAGTCCCAGTGTAAGACCTGGGGTCTCACAGCTCAGGAGTTCAAGATCGCGCCCTTCCCAGAAACTCCCCCAGACCAAGACTCGTTGCAAAAGCAAGAGGTTTATTAACCATTGCACAATGGGGTCACCCCTGCGGGTCAGCAAAGAGTGGCACCCGGAGACAAAGGCCTTTAGGTTTTTAAAAGAAAAATTGCGGGAGATTTGAAGTTGCAGTCTTGGCAATTTAGGATTGGATGAGGAAGCTATAAAGTAAGATAATTGGTTAGGCTTAGGTGCTCAAGCTTGGCCAGTCCTGCCAAGTGTGGATGCAGCTGCAATTGAAGGTGGGGGTGGTTAGCTCATCCTTGAAGATTAGGGGCTACAGACTTTTGGCTGGAGGTCAAAAGCTACTCAGAAGAAGTCTAGGTTCGTTGCTAAGAAACACTATCTCAAAGACAAGGGTCTGGTCCTTCTTTTGCTGAGTGAAGGTCATTGCTTGCTTGCTTTTTTTATATCTGTCCTCACAGATAGTGTCACATTCCTCCATTCTCTGGAAAGGTACTAAGAGGTTTTAGCTTAATCTGGACCTAAAACTCAAAACTACAGGCTTTAGAAGACATATAGGTTACAAAGTTAGCCTCACCCTTTCACCAGGACAGCCGACACTGTTACACAGCAAAACCCTGTCTGGAATTTTATTACTGGGTCACCACAACATGAACCGTATTAAAGGGTTGCAGCATCAGGAAGGCTGAGAGCCACTGATTTAAAACATTAGCAAAATTTGAAGGATCACAAATATGGAGAATTTCTAGGGAAAATTAAGAACAAAAACAAAACTTCAACTGGATTATTAAACGTTTTTAAAATGATCTTTTTTCTTTTTTCCAAATGATTTGTTCTACTGCTAGAGAAGGTAACATTCCCATCATACACCACATGGGGGCGCTCCTAGCCTGTTTTTCAGGGAAGCCACTTTTTCTAACCTGGACAAGGAGGCTCTGTTAGCTTGTTTGGCGCTGGGGATGGGACCTAGCCCGGGGCATGCTGAACACCTGTTCTGCACCTCCAGCCCGGACAGCATCTTTTAGTCCTCAGTTTCTCCAACATCCTGCCTCTTAAAGGTTGATTCAAGTTTTCCTTCAGATTTAAGCCGCTTCAGGTGGGCTCTCATCAGTCCGAATCCCTTCGTGCTCTTGGTCTGGCTGATGTCGTTTCCTCTTTGTTCAAAAGGTAACTCGGCTGGGTCAGCCTGACACTTCATGTCACAGAGACAGGGAGAGACTCCAGCGTTCTCAGCACGGAGTTTTGTACAGAGGGGAATCCTGGATATGCCAGAACGTACAGCTAGGGATTCAAGAGTTGT